GACCTTTTTTGCCGTCTATGAGAAAAAGAAATGTCTCAGAGCCTCAGAATACTGAAATCTGTATTTTTAAAATCAGTTTTTCCTTCTAATTTGTTATTATTTACATTGCTTTTCAAATCGTCCTGTGTGACACAAAAAAAAAAAGAAAGGGAAATAGTTTTGGTGAACACGAATCAATAGATACATTTCGTGACTATATCACGAAATGCCGTGAGACTGGGTTGAATCAGCACACTGACTGGTTAACTGAGTTGTTCTCTGGTTAACTTGTTTTTTCTAAACGTGAAAGTTATTAAAAATGTCCTCATATCAGATTTCATTATCATGTCATCCTGTTTAGTCTCTAACAGAGGATGCTGTAAAACCATCCCATCACCTCACAGTAGCTGAGAATGATCTTGAATACAATTCGTTTTTTAAAAAGCTGTTAGACATAAACAGGAAGAGCTAACAAAAGGATACCAATTTGACAACATCCTGTTCAATTACTTTAAAAGGTTGTATTCATTTCTTTATTTCCTAAACAGAAAGTTGTGGGCTCTCCAGGTTTTCCGCCTGACAGCGACGATATATATGTTGTTTTTTTCTCTTTGAGACGAGGAGCAACATCAGCATTAACTCCCAGAGAAATAAAACAAGGTCTGCAGAACGAAGAAGAGCGGCAGCAGATTGAAACGAGGAGAGGCCTTGCGGTTTGTAATCGTAAAGCACTAGTATTGCAGATATCTGGGGATGTATTGGAAGCACATTTCGTGAGGCGTTGCCTGCCAGAAAGAAGTCATAAATCTTTCCAGCTCTTCCTCAATGCCCCTCTGGTGAAATTAGTAGTAGAAAAACGGAGAATTGAGAAAGTGGAATATGTTTTTTTGACATTTTCCCCTTCTGACAGAGCACATCAAAAACGTGACAACAGGAACAATGACGTTGATAAATCCAGAATAATTGGATCCACATTAAAGCGATCGCTCACAGGCCTGGCAGTCACATCCATCTTTCCAAAAAGCATCAGAATGAAGCAGTAGCAGGGTTAGGTTTACTGTAAGCTCGTTTGATTACCCACCATCTCCGGAGACGCTGGGAGTCTTGGATCCTGCAGGAGACTTCATCACCTCGCTGCTGTACATCAGGTAGCTGTCGTACTCGTCTCCAGCCTCAGCGTCGATGATGGGGATATCTGGGATGATGGGGACTATCGGGACAGGAGGAGAAGGAGGCAAATATATTGGCAGGGAACGTATAATAATATTTCTTCTGGGTGTGGCTGGGTGTGATCACGACTAGTTGTAAGAAATCAACATTTTTTGAAGGCCAAGGAATAATTTATTGATTTTATTTGAGGAGAATATAGCAGAAAAGATCTTCGAGCTTTGATCAATTAATGTAGAGAGACGATTGTAAGTTCAAACTCAACCATATTGCACACTTTTTAAATGTGTTATCCGTTATTTGGCTTTTTCTAATCATTGCTTTTAATAACAGCTCATTTTATTTCCAATCTCAAACTGTTTTCTTAACGTCTAAACTTGATTACACTTTAAAATGGCTTTGTGTCTTTTGATTTGATTTGCCTTGTCTTACCAGGGTGCAAATATTAAAATCTGTTTTTGCTTATGGACTACACTAAATGTTTTACAGTGATACAAGTTTAATATTTCACAGAGAATTAATTACATTTATTCAAACGATTAAGTCTCTTATTCATGTTTGTTGGTTTCTAGGATTTCCAATTCCAAATCCTACTTCACTTTTAACCTCAGGGCAATTTTATGCCCTTCTATTTCCCTTCTATTACTTGTTTTGTTGCCCCAATAAAGATTCCTGTTTGTCATCTTGCAATCTACTTATTTATATAAATAGTTATCGACGCATTAAACCGTATTTCATTTTTTCTTAACAGGTGGGGTAGGCAATTTTGGAGAAACCAGCTCGAGTGGCTAGAATTTGAAAATACGAAACCGGAAAGAATCTGCCACTTCCTTTCAGAGCCCCTCCTCCAACACACACGAACGCACACATGACCAATGAGGGCACGAGATAAGTTTGTGCACAGATGGAAGGCTGACAGGCAGGTAGGCCATCCAGTTACTTTAGCCGGCTCAGATGATTGGTCGTGCTTTTTACAGCGCCACGGCTTCCAGAGGTGAAATATTTGTATGGATTTTTTGTCAAAGCACTTCAGATATTCATTGCTATCGATGTTAAGAGCATTCCAGGGAATATAACAACAAGTGTTTCTGAAATAAAGGACATACCCCACCTTTAATGTACATTATTTAATTTCATATTCTCTTGACATGTACAGTATATAGACTTTTTGCACTATTTATATTTTGTATTTGTGTATTTTATTATATATGTTGCATTGTTGGAGGAGCTCAGGTCAGAATAATTTCATTGCCATTTCTACACTGTAGCTTAGAGCACATGATGATAAAACCTTTGAATTTAGTCTCATATTTTTAATTTTTTGGTGTCTTAAATCTCTTGTGTTTCCGACTGAAACTGAAGTCTGTGTTGCCCCCATACTTACTGGACAGAGGTCTTGCGGGCTGCGATGCCAGGTTGATGGTGGCGTCTCTGAATGGACCCCAGCCCATGCTGTTCATGGCCCGGACTTTGTACTGGTAGGTCTGGGCGCGCTGCAGGTTCTCGATCAGCAGCATGCGCTTCTTCGGGTTGTCGATCTTTATCTTCTTAGCGGCGCCCTCTGGCTCTGTGAGGAGAGAGTATTGGTTTAAAGGTCTCCTATTATACTGTATTCAGGCATATATTATAGGTCTCAGATATATACAAATATATAAAAAACATGTACATGAAGTGTTTTGCTCAAAATACCAAACAGATCAACCATTCTAGCCTCATATCCCTCTATTTCACTCCTGTTAGAGAAGTGCAGATTCAGGGTCTGTAGCTTTAAAAAAAAAATGCTAAATGCTGCCGAAACCACATCAAGGATTCTCTCTGAAACAGGATGGAGCTCAAACTCTTTCTCTCTCTCAGGTTCACCACAAGGTGACTTCCTTTAGATTTCCTGCTTCTTCACACATACTCTCTCCAGTACAGGTTAGCTCTGAGTGTTAGCATGCTAATGTAAACACAGACCATATTACTTCCAGAACACGTCTCATTGTTTCTGACAGCAACGTTTCTGATTGGTCCGTGGGTGTAAAGCCCGCCCACATTTGAGTAATGTCGTCATGACGCAGAAAATCTGGATCAGCTCCGTTGCTCCCCCGTTTTTAGCGACGTGGGTACGGAGGAAAAGAGAGAGGGTTTTATTTTCCGACCCTTTGTGAGTCTCCTGACACACTGGGGACACACCGGGGACACACCGGGACACACCGGGGACACATGGTGATGTAGAGAAGACATCAGGAAGTGCAT